GAGCTATGGGCCCATAATCCAAGAAAAGTTAAGAGCCCTCTTCTTTAAAGTCTAGAGATCAGTTCAGAATAGCTTAATGTTAAATCTGAAATTCAAATCATGAACAAAATTAATGGCACCTTTCTTCTTTATTTTGCCATAAGGCCCCTTATGAGCTAGTGACTACCTGTGCAGAGGCGTGACCCTTTAGGTCCTGGGAAATTTACAGATTAATGTTTCACAGCATCCAGCCAAGGCCATGAGAGCAAGCTCCTATCTCTATGAGAACACTTCCAAAAAATTTACAAAGTTATCCATGGAGTGAGCCAAGCTCTCTCCCCTTGAAACTAGAAATACTTGAACTAGAAATAGCCGTGCTTTTCCATCACATACTGTCTACTTGTTTTTTTCAACTCAAGTGCTAGACTTGACTCAAATTGATCTATCATTTTATTAATTTCAATATTCCTCTCTTCATTAGCCAATTATAATGCTAAAGTACCCAAAGCATAGCTCTGGGAACAAAGATAACATCTTGCTTCCCCACCAATAATGGCTCCAGGAGAAGTGGGGGAAACTGGTGAAGCGTCACTGATGTTAAGTTAGAGATGGGACCTTTTCCACATAAAAAGGGAAATATGACCCACATGTACAAAAATAGTTATAGCAGCTCTTTCTGTGGGGGCAAAGAATCGGAAATTGAGGAGATGCCCATCAATTGGGGAATGGCTGAACAAATTGTGGTATATGAATGTAATGGAATACTATTGTACTGCAATAATTGATGAGCAAGAGGACTTCAGAAAAACATGGAAAGACTTGCATGGACTGATGCTGAGTGAAGTGAGCAGAACCAGGAGAACATTGTACACAGTAACAGCTACTTTGTGTGATGACTAACTTTGATAGAGTTAGCTCTTCTCAGCAATGCAAAGATCTAAGACTTCTCCAAAAGTCTCATGATGGAAAATGCTATCCACATCCAGAGAAAGAATTATGGACTTTGAATGCAGATCAAAGCATACTATTTGCTCTTTTTTTTCCGTTCTGTTGTTTCCTCTTTCTTATGGTTCCTCCTATTCTAATTCTTCCTTACAACATGACTAATGTGAAAATATGTTTAATAGGAATGTATATGTAGAGCCTATATTAGAATACGTGGCGTCTTGGGGAGGGTGGTGGGGAGGGAGAAGAAGGAAAATTTAAAACTTAAAAGCTTATGGAAGTGATTATTGAAAACTAAAAATAAATATTAAAAAAGGGAAATCTGGAAAGTCATCTTTGTCACTACATGCCTTGAAAACATGCAGCAACTTCAATTTCCAGACCTCTTAAGGCCTTAAGCAAGTATTAAAATATCCTTTAATAAGTACTATTTAGATGTATAACATTTGTCTCTAGTTTTCCTTTTAGTAATGTGGGTGTGTATTTACCACAAAAATTATTTGTTTAGAAATGTTTTTGCTACAAAATGTAGCAAATAACATAAGCAGAAGAGAATGATTATCTCCTCTTCCCAATTTAAGAAAAATCCTGTGGCCTTAGAAAATAGCACTTACTCAGGGAGATATCTGCAGATCAATAGCAAAGTAGAAAGATGTAGACAGCTCTAATTAGAAAACTAGATTCTTAGAAAATGGCTTCTAAGTGCTTTTATATGCTTGCATGTAGTGTCTTGTATTTGCTGTATACTAAATAAATTTAGTTTTATTGCTCTTCTCCTCACCCTGACAAGCACACACAGAGACAGAGAAACTGTACAAAGAGCTATCCAGAAATCAGTGGCCAGGTGGAACAAGATAAATTGATCTAATTAGACATTTGGCTTTTCTTTGCATTAGGGCATGGCCAGAATGTGCTAACTACCAATTAAAGATAACTGAAAAGACTGAATTGTCCTATTGGAAAAAAAAAGCCAAGAATCGTGTCTTAAATTCTGGCTCATTTAGGAGTTCTTATCCCCTAATCCCTGAGAGCAATAAACAGTCATCTCAAATAGCAATTCACCCCAGCAAATGGCAACAAGGATTGACCAAAGGAGGCACCAAGAAGAAAACAAAAAGCTATGGATCTTGCTTTCAAATGTATGTGGAGAGAATTTGGCAGTGATTTACACAGAATATGCTGTTTGTGTTTCCACCAATACCAAGTAGCATGTGTACAAAGTACGTATTAGTTTCTGTCCTTTAGGAGGAAATTAAAGGGCTAGTTGGACAACCCTTTAGTAATCTAGTAGGGCAGATTTCTCCTCTCCAGATTAGCCAGGCAAATGAAGTGCTCCTTAAAAGAAAGGGAGAAACATTTCAAGGAGGAAATAAAGAAGAGAAAGAATATGAAAATGCAAATGGAAATACTCACGTGGGAAAATAGGTCATGGACGAGGAAGGAAGCATCAAAGGCTGTTGACCATTTGTAATTAAATAGTAGAAATGAGGGTGTTCTTTTAGCAGGAAACTAGACCACCTTTAGAAAAAACAGCTTTCTCTCTCTCTCTCTCTCTCTCTCTCTCTCTCTCTCTCACACACACACACACACACACACACACACACACACACACACACACACTGTCTCTCTCATAAATGAAGATATAGCTTCATAGGTCCTATCAAGTATCTTATAATCCTGCTCAGAGAAAAAAAGAGACAAGTAGTGGTGGTTGGTAACTCCCTGCTGAGAGGTTCTGAAATAATTATTTGTCAACTTAATATAAATAACAGACAGATCTATTGTCTTCCACAGGCATCTGGCTTGGATGTAGTGGATAAGAGCTATCCAAATTATGAATGATTACTACCAATTTCTGGTGACTGATGTGGAGTCAAGTGATACAGCCAGAAGGAATCTAAAAAGTATTAAAAGTCATGGATTTTTAAAAAATAAAAGCACCTTGAAGACTTCTAGCACACATTTACTACTTTGAACACTATTGCTGCTTGAAAGCAAAAAATTCAAAGGACAATGATGGATTTTGGAAATGAATATCTTGGCTAAAAAGATATTATTTGAGGATAGAATTCGGATTTCAGGATGACCACTTAAAATTTAAGAATGACCGTCTCTTGGCCAGGGATAGCCAAGGGTTTAAGGGTTAAAATTCACACTTTCACACACACACACACACACACACACACACTATTTGGGCTGGAAAGAGGAGAAGAAAACAGTCTAAATTGTTCATACAAGCCTCTTGCCACATAAAGTATAACATAGAACACAGAAGAATAATAGAAGAGAGGATTGGTAATTTGCAAGAAATAATGTCCAAGAAGAAAGTTAGCAATCAAATTCATGGTCTCAGGTATTTATGTACAAATGAACAATGTATAGGTAATAAATAGTGTGAACAAAGAAAAATCTTTGTACTGTATTAAAAAATACAAGGAGCCATATTTGACTTCATAATTATCACTGAAACTTGAGGAAAATAGAAGGGTATAGCTTACTCAAAAAGAACAGTATAAATAAAAAGAATGTTGGTATCACATCACACATTAAAAAGACACATATAGGTGAATAAATTTGGGAACCACAGGGGAAAAATTATATAAATCATTTGAGTAATGTAGAAAGAAGCAGAAGAAATACTGTCATGGGAATCTACTATAGACAATTAGGATAGAAGGAAGAATTAGATAAGGAGTTGGCATCAAAGCATAGTATTATTGGGATGAAAGATTTCAGTTCTCTAGACTTCTGCTGGAACTCTTTCTCTGCCAAAAACTGATAGACTAGGTACTAGATCTGTTTACTAGTATAGGTAAATCCTAGGTAACTGTCTCTGCTGTCTCTGCTCATGCAAGTTGGCCCCTTCTCTGCAACTTACAATCTTAGAAATTTGTTTAGCTCAGTGAGAGAAGTGAACTTCCCAGTGTTCCATAGCCAGTATGTGTCAATGGTAGCTAGCCTATGAACCCAGTTTTTCTTGACTTTGAGGCCAGTTCTTTATCCATTGTGCCACACTACCTCTTATGGCAAACGCAAAGCAGCTGATATGTTTGTGACTTACTTTAATGACAATTTTGTCCTTCAAAAGGTTGAGGAAGGAACAAGAGGAAAGGCTATTTTGAACCCAGTTCTGATCAACCTAAGGATGCTGCTTGTGGCAATAGAAACAATAGGAAATGTAGGAGCAAGACTACATTCCATTATAGAATGTTTGAAAAAGGAAAGAAAAGCTTGTGCCCTGGGCTTTGAAATAGCAGATTTCATAAAGTTCGGAGAAAGCATTGTTAAGATCCAATGGCCTAATGTCTTACAGGAGAAATTTGCCCAAGAGGAAGTTCTCCTGAAAGAAATTCTGAAGATTCAAGAAGAAATGGATTTGATGAGGAGTATAAAAGGCAAGGCTGAGGTGATGCATTTTAAAATTTTAAAATTTAAATTTAATTACTTTAATTTAATTTTTAAAATTGAATTTAATTAAACAAATTTAGATTTAAATAAAATTTAAATTTCCAATTTTTTAAAGGTATGCTCCTTAAGGTCAGGAGCTATTTCATGTTTTAAATATCTCCAGCACCTTGCATAGTGTCTGACACATAGTAAGCATTTAAGTGTTTGTTGAATGGATCTTGAATGTTGTTAGATGGATAGATGAAAACAGAAGCAAAGGAAAGTAACTGCTCTTGGATGAATATAAAGAGTAATATGGTTCCAAAGAAATAGTGTCAGGAATGATAAAACCCCAAGTGAGCCAAAACTAGTGATGAATGCTAATGATAACAATAAGGTTTACCAAAAAAAAATTGTGTTGGAAGCAAGAGAAAGATCAAGGAAAGCATAGGGCTTGTATAAGATGATGATAAATGGCCTATAGCATTAGACTGATGGCCGAATTATTAAATTCCTTTTGCTTTTGCTTCTTCTTCCAAAAAGTATGACCTTTGAACTGGGAATGATAGAACAAAAAATGGTTATCAAGGAGTAGAAATTCAAGATTAGCAAAGAGACAATAAGACAATAAAATGCCTTTTCATTCATTCACTCATGGTAGACTAATTCACAAAATGAAAGACACTGTAGAATGATATGATAGATTATTTCTTCTCCAACACAATCTCAATTGTTTGAAGGTACCACATTTTTTTCCCAAGTTTAGGTAAAACTTTTCACTCCAGCACAAATTTATTCCCTTTGCTGGCTCAGTTGATCACTTAGCAATGAGCACTAAATAAGGTTGGCAAACTCTGCAAATATACCCAACACCTTTTTTTTGTGCTATTGCTTTTTACTATAAATGACCACACAGAGTTAAAGTTCCTCCTTGTGGGGTATCAGAGAAAACCAAAGGGTATCTACCATTCTCTTCAGAGACAGATTTTGGCTGTTTACCAACTGAGTGCCCCCCTCAATTATCTTTGTGTCCACTCTTCCACACTTCCTTTCTGACCCCAGAGCCAGTGTTTATATGTATCACCCTGTTCTTCAAACAGCTTAGGTAAATCAAACCAGGCAAGAGACAGAATGGAGGGAAGTACAAATCAAAAAGGCTAAAGCTGGGACTGAAATAACATAAGGCAATTTCACACTTCAAAGAGCCATGGTAATATCCATAGCATCTTCATGGATGTTTCATTTGCATAGTAAAAAACAAAAACAAAAATCAAAACATACTGCTGGACAACTTGCAACAAAGAAATGCAGTGGAAACAGCACAGAGTCATTGGAAAAAGCTAATCCTCTGATTTCTGAAGTTCCCTTTGAGTAGCTTGAAGCAATCGGTATAGTTCAGAGAAAGAGTCTGGAGACACTCTCTGGTGGTGGGGCGTTTCTGGGATTCCAGGATCTGCACATTCATGCACAGCCTTTTGTAACTGCTCCTGGAGCTGTAAAGTGACAGCAGAGCTTCTGAAATTGGAAGGAAACCAGTGTCGGAATATTTTGTCACAGATCACCTAAGGAAAGAGAGGAGGGAGTTAACTCTATGGGCTGAAAATAATATCTAATTTTTGCAGCACCTTTCTAATGTATGTATCTTTAAGAATCCTGAGATTTTAATGAGGGTCTTTCTGTTTGGAACTCAAAGAACTGTACACACAATAGAATAAGCTATGCCTCAGAGATAGTTCCATATATGTAAAGTAGGAAATTCAGGTTCCCCCCTCCTTATGGATGAGTAAATGGAAATTGGCATTTCATAGAGGAGAGAAAGGAACAAAGAGGTCCTCATTGCATAGGTATAGCTATTGTCCAAACAGCTTAGAGATCCCACGAAAGAAGGTAGGGCTGGGTGGGAAAGGCATTTAGGGAAACCCTGGTCTAAAGAAAGGTTGTTGGAAGAGCCAGAAATGTAATTGATGACACTATCACACAGTGGTCAGAGTCTTTACTGACAGCATAGAGTATTAAATTATCAGTTAGAAAAATGGCCCATGCTTTTCTTTTTATGATTTATTACAAACTTAATATTAAATACTAGTAAAATCAACTGAACTTTCTTATGACAATTTGCAATTGAACAAATGAATTTCAACACAGAACTATTCATAACAAAACATCTGTTCCTCCTTCTGAATTTCCATCAGATTCTTCTTTCCATTCATTCTTATTCACTTTTTCTTTTATCTAATCATAGTGTATATTTTGTTCTTTAAGGTCCTACCTACTCGATTTTTGCAAATTTTATATGCTTCTTTCATATTCCATATCCTTCATGTTTATTAGTCTTTATTGCAAGATGGGATTTCATTGTATTAATGCACCACAATTTATTTAACCATTACTCTGTTGTTGGGCATTTAGGTTATTTCTAATTTTTTGTAATTACAAATAATGTTAAAATAGATCTCTGAAAAATATTTCTTTTAAAAAAACAGAATTTTTAAATAGTTTTTTCATGGTATATTCCCAATGGTAAAATTTTTAGATCAAAATTTTATGATCCTTTATGTAATGTTTGCTTGTGCTATCAGATTGCTTTCCAAAAAGATTCTATCAATTTGTAACTTCACCAGCAAAGAACAGGTGTAACTATTTCCCTACAATCTCACCAGCATTAAATTTCATTGCTTTTTATTATTTTTTAAAATTTGAAACTTCTTCTAATTTCTTCCATTATTAATAAGGTTGAACATTTTTAATAGATTCTTTAATTTTTATGCAAACACATTTCTCTTGTCCTAGATAATTTCTTCTATTTCTTTAACAGATAAAAAGTCACCTTTTCTCCACAACTGAGTAACTACATTGTTCTACTTTCTTCCATCTTTTTATCATTGATTTTTTTGAAAGTTTAACTATGACCCACATGGAATTAACTGTGGCATGAGATGAGGGTTTAAATTTGTTTCCCACCATATTATTAGCCAGCTTTTCCAAATATATTTATTAAATAATGAATCCTTTCTCCAGTTTTCCATAGGTTAATCAAATGTTTATATTTGTATGTGTCTGGCTCCATGTTGGATTATGCTTTTCTTAATTCTTCCTTTTTTTGGGAAAACTAGACAAGGAATTATAAAACCTAATAAATGACTAGGCTTTCTTTCTGTTCACAGATCACTGCTCTTTCAAGGTTTGCCAAGCATTTTACAAGGGGTATTACACTATGTGATAGTAATGCCTTAGATTTGTAGGACATCTTTAATACATAGGACACAAAGAACTTTCACTTCTGTTGTCTCATTTTTTCCATAATAAAATTACAAGTTGACAAATGCCCAAGGGAAGCATCATCTTAGTCCCCAAACTCTGTTCCAGTGTCATTTGGCTCTGGACCAAGGAGGTCAGCCATATAGTATCTTCAAGAGATCCAAAGTCAGCCATTTAAGGTTCCCCTTAAGTGGGAAGCCACTTTCTGGGTTCCTGGGGACAACCCAGAAGCTTGTGTACATTCTAGGGTAGGTTCAGACGTGTCTTCTAGTTCAGAGCCACAAGGTCCCCTCTAGCATCACCCCACAGAGTGGTTAGATTCGGTTCAGGTTCAGCAAATATTTGTTAAGCATATACTTTTTGCATGGCATTGTGTTAGACACTGGAGACACAAAGATTTTTAAAACATAATGATTTCTGCCCTCAAAGATCTTATTCTACCAAGAGAGCTCTAGGATAGCTCCAGACCAAGGATCCTTCAGTGTCAAGCTGATCCTCCATCCTCTATCACCTCTATCATCAGGTCTGAGTCTGAGTAATATTAGCTTCTAAAGGATGGATGGAAGGTTTGAAGTAAGCAAGGGTTGAAAGGTGATAATAGCAGTGCCATTTGCTCTCTCATTGTGAGTTAAACCTTACCTTTCTTTTTCCCTTTTCAATTAACAAACATTATTGTCTCTCCCTTCCCCTCCACTCTCTCTCCCACCCCTCCCTTTATCACAAAAAGAGAGAGAGAGAAAGAGAGAGATAAAATCCTTATAATGAATATGCATAGTCAAGCAAAACAAATGTGTACATTTCTGGCTTATTCTGCATTTGAGTCCATCATCTCTCTCCGGAGGTAAGGAGTGTGGCATCATCAGTCCCCTGGAATCATGATTGGTCATTGCACTGATCAGAATTCTTAAGTTTTTTAAAGTTATTTTGTCATCACAAGTATTATTAGTGTATAATACTTCTCCGTTTTTTTTATTTATCCATAAATAGGATGTACCTGAAGGCCTCCAACATCTTTCTGATCACAATCAACACCCAGAGCTTCCAGAGACCACCTTATATAAAAAGCACAAAAATGGGTCAAAAAAGCAAAAAGTGTCTCCTCTGGGATTAGAAGTCACAACTTTTGCTCATTAGTGCTACTGTTGTCTATCTATTTGCTCCTTCTTTCTCATAGTATCAGCATAGTCCCCTTTTCCTTTGCTAAACTCTAAACACTACCTTCTTACATATGTCTCGGTTAATTCTCTTGTTCTTTCCAATATTAACTGGCTGTATGGCCTTACCTCTTTACCTGCCAAGACCTATAATATTCATTAGAATTCTATGGTTTAGCTAAATATCAGGTCATAGGTCTCCTGGCCTGCTTTGTCCTATTGCCACCTAAGAAAATAGGGTAGGGGAAGGATCGTTGGACTTGGAGTTAGAAAACTTCGATCAGTTCCAAAGAAAATAGCACTAGCTCTGTGGCCCTGAGTAAAGGACTTAACCATTCTGAGTCTCAGAGATTCTGTGATTCTCTGAGAGGGGCCCAGAGAACCTCCCCTATGATGTCATCCAGCCTTTCCTTGAAACCCTCCAATGAAGAACACACTATCTTCTAATGCATGAAATTCTATTTCAATAAGCTTTTCCTCTTATTAAATTTTCCGTTTTGCCACTTCTACCTATTACTCCAAATACTCTCAGAGACAGCTATCATGCCCTCTCTCCAAATTTTCTCTTCTCCAATGTAATTTAAACATCTAAACATCTCTGGTTCCTTCACCTGCTGCTCATATGGCATGATCACGAATCCCTTCATCCATTCTGCTTATCCTTTTCTGGATACTCCTCAACTTTGCAACATCCTTCCTAAAATGTGGTACCCAGAATTGTACAGACTACTTTAGATATGGTCTGCCTTGGGGGTAAGGGGGATAGCAGGACCTTCCAAGTCCTCTTTTAATGTGGCATAAGATTAGATTAGCATTGTCGGCTGTCACATAACACTGCCAACTCACATTGATCTTAAAGTTCACTAAAACCATCAGATCTTTCTCAGATGAACTGCTACCTAGACAACTCTTCCCTACCCCACCCCATGTGGTATCTGTGAAATTGACTTTTTTTAATCCAAATGTAAGATTTTACTTTTATTCCTATTGTGTTTCATCTTATTAGATTTGGCTCAAACGTCTAGCCTGCTAAGATCTTTTTGGATTCTGACTCCAACACCATTGTGTTAGCTATGCTTCCCAGATTTGTGTCTCCTACCAATTTATAAGGGTACCATCTATGCTTTTATCTAAATTAGTCATAAAAATATTTAATAGTACAGAGCCAAGCACAGATCCCCATGGCCTTTCACTTGTGTGCCTTCCAAGTTGACATCAAGTCACTAATGTCTATTCTAGGCTTTCAATAAGTTCTGAAACTAACTGTCAAGCCCACATCCCTCCATCTCTTCCACAATAATAGTAAGAGATTGTCTACTGCTTTGCTAATATCTTTCTAAAAATTAACAGTATATTCTCCTGACCTACTACTAGTATAACAACCTTCAATTTCCTCATCCACAAAATGAAGACAATAATATCGCACCATCTCTCTCAGTGCTGCTATATGGAAAGCCCTTTGCAAATAGTAAAATGCTACAAAAATGTGAGCTAGTAACAGCAGTGGTGGTAGTAATCATTGTCATCATACCAAGCTGGCTACTGTCATTTACACAGCATACATTCATTTTACTATCTGTCCATCATTTAGCAGGTGGAGAAAATGAGACACAAAAAAGAAATTGACTTCCTCATGCCATCTAGATGGATAGTCATTGAGTGAGCTACAATTAGAATCTAGTCTAGCTCACTATCCAATATTCTATTCACCACATCACACTGAGCTTCAACACTCTGAGACAGGTAACAAAGGATGGTGGATCACCCATGTCTACCATCGTTTCTATTTTTATTTAGTATGGAGATCAAGATGGGTGAAAGGAATTACCTTCAATGTGATTTAACTTGTATAGCTGGAAATGGTAAATAAGAGGTAGAAGCTTCCAGGGAAAATCCTGATTTCTCAATTCCCAGAACAGTACATAAGCCAATGGACCACACCTCATTCACGTAAGGGTTGCTGACTACTTACCTGCAGGTTGTTATTGACTCGCTGGGCCCCACATTTATTGACTCTGAGATCACACTTTGAAAAACAGTCAAAAAAGTTGCAGTCTTCATCTCCTGTGCAGTTTTGTTCAAGGATATCCCTCATCTTAGGTTCAAAAAAGGCCATGTCCACATCAATAGCCACCACCTGTAATGAAAACAAGATATCCCGCCCCCCAAAAAAATAACATACATGTAGCCAATACAGAGCAGAACCACTGAAGTTATTCTCCTATTACTGCCTGCCTATAAGCCCCATAGTTCCTAGGAGCATAGATTTAGAGCTAGAAGTGAATTCAGAAGTCATCTGGTCTAATAGCACCTATTTTACAAATAAGAAAACTAAGGCCTGGAGAATTTAGGTTACTTGACTAAAGTCATGAAGAAAGTTAAGTGGCAGAGGTAGACCTTGAACCTGGGTCCTCTAACTCCAAATCAAGGATTCTCTCCAGTGTGTGTTACACTTGTCAGCCAAGTTGTAAATGGTCAGAAAACTAAGAGTCTAAAGAAAATACTTCCTTTTATTCACTAAGGCATAAATTGGTCCAAAAATAGATTGGGGGGAGGGGGAGGAAGGGAGGGAAGGAGCAAGAGAGAGAGAGAGAAAGAGGGAGGGAAGAAGGGCGAGAGGGAGAGGGAAAGAGACTGGGAAAAGAAGAAGAGGAGAAGAGAGGAAAAGAAAGGAGAGAGAACAAAGTTTTTAAGTTTTATTTTTCATTCTTAATATTGTATCATAGATAAAGTTTCAGATCCTTTGTCATTTAAAAAGCAAAAATAAAAAACCTTTTGCAAAGTAAAGTTTTTCATGATTAGGCTTTAGAAGCATTGCTGTGGATATCAATTTTTATCCTGATGGGAAAAAAAAGAACTTAATTTTGAAAGTGAAGACACTGAAATGTCTTATAAATAATTTTCCCTCCATTTGAAAAAAAAAGGATTTATTTCATCAAGTGATGCATCAGAGCTCTGGGCCTCTGCTCTTCACCATCTAGAATTTTTAACTGGGACAAGCTACTGGTAGTTTATCCTTGTAGGTAGGGACATCAGATAGAAAGGCATCTCATTGGGCAGGACTGTGAGAATAATAGTGCAAATGAGGGATGAGTAGGCACAATACTTCTAAGAGTACAGTACCTTGGAATGTTTAAATTTCTGGCCAAAACTGGCACAAATAGAAATGTTAGGGAAAGGGCCAAAGCAAAAATTACTTGTGCCAGAATTGTTGTGGATGGGCAGTTAGGAACTAACGTGCTCCCACGGTAACAAAGACCAAATCCATTGTTTGAGTGACAGCTTGATGACCCCCTGGCATTTCAAATTTATGTTTCTGGCTACAAATCAAAAGGACTTTAAAAACAGAAAAGTACAGCTTCTAAATTATGCAGATTTTTCTCCCACCACCTGGATTAAATAACAGAAGATGAGCTCAAACCTGGGAAATCCTGGAGTCAACCCAAGTACAGCAGGTTTTAAGTCTAAGGTTTTAGAAAGTTATTAGAAAGCTTGATGAAGCTGATGCAGCCCAGAGCAATCCACAAGCCTTTGCAGGCCCATATCAGAAATATTTGCCTTTCTCCATCCCCCTAGTAATGCCTCAAAAAATGTTTGAAAAAGTGTTTATTCTATCCACTCCCATCCTGTCTTAAATACATTCTGATCCTGTGACATAAATTCAGACGCTAACCTCTTTTCTTCTTTTTTGAAGAGAGTAGAGGGTGGGAAGTGGAGTGAGGAGGGAAAGGAGTGGGTGTCAGCAATCAGGTCAGTTTTCCTGAGATTGTCCAGCATAGCATGATTTGCTTAGAGGCATGTGGGGAATAATGAAAATGAAAAACATAGGAAAATTTTTTCAGGCATTTCAAGGCTTTGCTTAATTATACATCCAGTCATAACAAACAGAGCCAGCCTGGCATTAAATAAATCTTTCCTATCTCATTGTGAAGCCAGGCCAAATATGCAATTTCACAATTTACCCTAGTGGTACATTAAAAGTGAACATGATTGAGGCTACACTAATGAAAGCTGTTCTCTGTAGAGAACATTTTCATTGTGGCCCAGTGCCCCTTCTCTTCTTTCCAGGGTTTCTGGCAGCCTTTCCAGGCTCCTACATGAGACCAGAGCTTCCTCTATGTACCTATTTTTACCTTTTCTGTTGTATATGATTCTTTCCTCTACTAGTAACTGTGTCTTTCTGCTTTCCCCAAGAGACCAAGATTTTTTTTTCTTTTTTCCCTCTTGTAATGTAATGACAGAGAATAGCTCACATATATGGCAAACATAACCTGATACTTATGAAGTAAAAACAAAAATATTTATATACCCAGTATTTCTTAATTCTTGAAATGATCACAAATTCTTTTATGCATAAAATTACCTAACCCACATAATTTCCTACAAACCATAATGTCCTGGCATCAGAACAGAAAGACATCTGATGATAATTTTATTCTTCCCCGAAATATGGTCTCATATGCCTTCAGAGCAGAAAAATGTACTATCTGTTTGAAAGTGACCATTGGCATTCAGTGAATAGCAGTTTGGACCAGAAAAGTGATGAAAAAGTTTCTAAATGTGACTTCAAGCCACTGACTCAATATTGGAAAGTATTACAAATTTCTGAACTGGTTCCTGGCTAGAAGGCTGCTGCTGATGCAGGCTTGTGGGACATTGACTAACTGGTAATTGTCAGAACCCAGTCCTTGTCTCACCTAGAAGACCAGCCCTTTGCATTAAACCAGGTCACTACTTGAAAGCTGGCTCAGGGGGGAACACCACTTGCTGGACCATTCCCTTCATTTCCTCAGAATAGTCAGGTTCCCAGCCAAGCAATAGCTAAGGGTCAGGGAACAAAGGGTTATGGGGCTCCTCTGCTTTGGTTGTTTCTCCTCTAGTTATCTTTTTACCCCTCTCCTCTTAAATCATTTTCACCTTTCTCTCTTTTTTTCTCTCCTCCCCATACTCCTCTTCTTTTTCTTCTCCTTTCTTTTTTTTTTGTTTGTTTTTGGCTTTTTGCTAGAAGATGGGGTTAAGTGACTTGCCCGGGGTCACACAGCTAGTAAGTGTCAAGTATCTGAGATCAAATTTGAACTCAGGACCTCCTGACTCCAGGGCCAGTTCTCTATCCACTGTGCCACCTAGCTGCCCCTTTCTTTTTCTTCTCCTTTCCCTTCCCCTGTCTTCTCCTCACCCTTAGCCTCTTTTCTTCTGATCCTTTCCTCTCCTTCCTCTTTCCTTCTCTCTTCTCCTATGCTCTCCTCTCCTCCCACATCTCTCTTCTCCTTTCTACTTTATTCTCTTTTTCTCTTCACCTTTCCTCCCTTCCCAACTTTCCTTACTCTCCAAACTCTTCATGAAGTGACCATGGTGTAGCAGTATAAATAAGAAAGTCCTTATGATTCTGACACCCCCACCTTCCCTTCTCCCTATCCCCATCCTGTGTACTTTAAGGCATGCACTCAAATACACTACTACTCTGCTGGTTCTACTATGACCCAGGACTAGCAAAAATTATACAATCTAATCTGAAGGATGCCACCTGTCCCCAAAATACTGCCCTCACAAACCTGCCATTGCCCTACAATTCTCTCCTATCTTCCCTGAATTTTTCAGGTGATTTAAACTATCCGGAGCATTCCCCATATCATTTCTCACTGTAATTACCAATTTTTTTCTTTCTCTCCTGTCACCCTTAGCTCCTTCTTGCACACTTTCAGCAGGAAACCAGTGAAAAGATAAGGGCACTGGGCATGAGTTCCCCCAGTGACTCTCCTCCATTTCCCAAAACTTCTCAGCATCATTAACTATTTTATTCTCTTTCCATCTGGTGTCAGAAGAGTTGTTAATATAGCTGTTACCAAAACTTAACAGATTCCCACAAGGCTCTAGATGTTGGAGGTGTTACGCCAGATTTTTTAATTCACTAGTTAAGAGACTTCAACAGGGCAAATGATCTGTGAAACAGGAAAGGAAAAAATGTAGGCATGAGACTCCCCCCACCACCCACTGCATCTAGTCCTTGACTGGCCAAAGACATTGTGACCATAGGTAATGACCCAGGATGCTGGATCTCATAAAGCAATTTGTTTTGTTGTATAACTCTTTAATGTAGTGAGAAGCAATGTAATATAGCAGATAAAGAGCTAGCCTTGGAATCAGGATAATCCAGGCTTCCTTTGGGGCTTGAAATCTGAATTTGGGACTCACAATTACTGAATTAATTCCACAGTCCCCTGTCCTCAGCACGGGTTGGGAATAAAAAGATCCATCTCATAATGAGATACCTAACCCGTTTTTGGCTGCTGTCTCTCTTTTTCAATAACCTCCTCCTCCTTTAAGGCCAGGTTGCAGCAGGGTAGGGAATACACATTCATCTGTTTTCTATCAAAGTAGGTCTCAGTGGCAGTCATTCTCACCCAAGGCATGCTTTTCACTTGCTACAAACACTAAAATACTGCTTAACTCCCTGGCAGTCATGAACACAGAATGAAAGCTAACCAAAACAGCTTCTGAATAAAACTGTAGGGAGAAGCAGATTTAAATTAATGTGGAGGAGGAAACAGAAGCAGGATCCCCAGGCAAGAACACACATAAGACACCCTTTATCTCTCAGTCCTTCTACCCTTATCCCCTTGGTAATACCCCATCTCCTGAAGATAGTTGCCTTAGGTCAAAAAATTAAATAGATACCTTCTCCCTCCCCAAGTCGATTACTGCTTTTAAATTAGTGGTAGAAATGCCTTCACTCTTTTTGAGAAATTAATCTTATTAGCCATTAGGAAATATAGACCTTGTTGATATCTAGGGCTCTCTGTTCTGCTGTTTGAAAGCCCTTTTCTACCAACAATCTTAGCTCAAAGGAAATGTGGGATGCACAAACTTAGAGAATCCACCCCAAATGTTCACATGGGCTATTTGCACCCGACCTGTGGTAGAACATACCGAGTTTATATTGGTCTGATCAGCCACAATCAGACACACTGTAACTTGACTCTAACATAGTGATGTCATTTTGGTCCTCTTCAAGAATGAAAGACAACCACCACCACCAATACCCAAACCTCTGGGTAACGGATGAGATTGAAACACTCCTAGAGTGCTGCTGCCTACAGCTGAAGTTTTTCAGTAGACTCAGAAACACAGAAATTCAGACTTAGAAGAAACCTCAACAGCCATGCAGTGCAACACATACCTGAAGAAGAAATCTCATGCTCTATGACCCATCTGACAAGTGGGCCTCCCTCTACTGCCTTCTGAAGCAGTTCATTCCATTTTGGCATCGTTATAATTGTCGGGATGTTTTTCCTGACAAAAAGCCTAAATCTGCCTCTCTGCAACTTCTACTCATAGCTCCTGATTTTGTCACCTGGGTCCAAACATAGCAAATCCAATCCTTCTTCCACAAAACAGCCCTTAAATTACTAGAACACAGTTATCACACACACACACACACACCCCACCTGAGTATTTTCCTCTGTGATTCTGTATAGATGGAGAATATCCAGAGGACAACCAGGATGATGCAGGGCCTTGAGATCATGTCATATGAGGCCATAGGAGATTGTTCAGCCTGGAGAATAGAAAACTGATGTGTGTGTGTGTGGTGGTGGTGGTGGTGGAGGGGTGATGGTTATGACTCTATAGGAGAATCAAAGGTGGAACTCTCACCAGATTAGGGGGAGGGAGGTTCTCATGGGACTTTTACTAAATGAAACCCAGATCTCTAGAACCCAAACAATCAGTTATTAAAGCCCGTGGTCTCTCATGCTATACCTATTCATCCCTCCCTGGAAGCACTTACTGTAAAGTCACTCCTTATGGCAAAGTTTTCTGGCTTGATATCACAGAGGTGAAGGCGATGGGAGAAGTCATTATCAAAATGGTTTACCATGTCCAGGAAACTAAGGGCAATGTTATTAATGGCCTTTGCCTGGCCCTGGTCACTCACAAGGGGGATGCCAGCAGCCTCCTCCAGGGGAAAAAGTGTTCTGTGTTGGGGATGTCCTGCAGCAAGGTATTCTACTGCATAGAAGTGGCCACAGGAGCCCAGCACCTGCAGGACATGGCGGCTGAAGTCTTGTAGAAGGCTGAAGTAGATATACTCCTCCTGCTGAAGCAATGACCACATGCTGGCCACCTGGACCTTCCAGCGAGGCCCCCTTCTCCCTGACCACAGGGGACCCATGGTGCTGTTGGAGATCTCCAAACCCAGGACATTCTTGACCTCTATGGCTACCATTAGGAGGAGCTCTTCCTCAGGGAAGTCCTTGCTACCCTCCACCTCGTCATTCAACAAGTCAAGGGGTTGGAAGCTGGAGAAAGCCTCTTTCTTGGATTTTAGGACAATAGGCTGGCCATGCCAAGTGGCCTGAAGAACCTTCTTGCCCCTCTCATAGTAGAGGCAACGCTGGTACATCAGCTTGCCAGCCATACACAGATCTTCACAAAGGTCTCCCATCAGCATGCCCACTTGGTAGTCATGACACTGAAGTGAAGGAATGGGAGAGTCAGTCACAATAAAGATGATTCTGGAAAACCAGTTCTACTTTGGACTTCAATTACCTATTCTCCTCTACATATTTTTAAAAATGCATTAATCTACTAACCTACTGAACATTTACTATGTGCTCATCACTATGCTAGTGGCTATGGGAGGTACTGAAAGAGAATAAGAGATGGTCCCTGTCCTCAAGGGACATAAATTCCTTGAAGAACTCCCCTTCTAGTGAAGGAGAGAAAACTAACACTTATAAGACAACAATAGGCAATATGGGACAATATATAATCCATGTAATGAGATGAAGGGAGGACTTACCTTTTCATATTTATCTTGTTCTTTAATAAAGACTAGAACCATATATGGGAATGAAAAAAGCTGGGATTATAGGTGGAGCTTTACAATTAGCTAGTTGCATAACCATGAATAAATCACTTAAATTCTCTGGCCTTCAATTTCTTTGTTTATAAAATAAGGGAATTTGCTAGATCCCATTTAGTTCCAAAGTTCCATAAATAAGGTCTTTATAGGCTTTAAAGACTAAGGTATGGTCTAGCTTTTAGATTCTGTGACTCTATAGTCTTAAGCTCTGAATTGTGTAGCATAACCTATAGGGAGACTGTAGGAGTTCAGACAAGAAGAGCAGCAACGTGAGCTGGTTTACTCATAGAGAGGAGCTTTTTTAAGCTGTCTCAAAGACAGGGAAAGATTTGGTTGGAAGAAAGAAGAGTATGAGAAGTAGGATGAGGAGAGACGTGGAAAGGGACCAGAGGAACAATAAAAGGTAGAACGCTGTATGTTCATGGCACAACTATTAGACTGAGGATTCTAGAGATCAGGTATTTCTTCAAAATTCATGTACCCTGGAGGGTGGAGCCAAGATGGAGGCATGAAAGCAGTGACTTGCTGGAGCTCTCCCCCAAACCCCTCCAAATACCTATAAAAAAATGGCTCTAAACAAATTCTAAAGCAGCAGAACCCACAAAAAGACAGAGTAAAACAAATTTCCAGTCCAAGACAGCCTGGATGGTTGATCGGAAAGGCATATCATGCCAGGTGGGGAGAGGAGGGCAGTTCAGCATGGGCACACAGGCCACAACGAACCTAGAGCAGGCCTCAGAGGACTGAATCACGGGCAGATGTGGTGGCTTCCAGACTCCTCAATCCACAAACGCCAAAGACCAAAAGGTCAGTGAGAAAAGTCTGTTTTTGCGGTGAGAGAAGAGCTAGGTCAGGGCCAGTTCCAGAGCCCAGAGCAAGGGTGCCAGGGCAGTGGCTGTGTCCTAAACTTCTGGCTCACAGACTGAGGGGGAATCAAGTGGCTGATCAGAGGGGGACTGCAGGGATCTCTTTGCTAGTGCTGAGGCAGGAATCTCTTTCTTTGCCCGTGCTTGGATCTGGGTCACAGTTCTGGGTGGTGGTGCTGGGGTGAGGAGGAACGCTGGCACAGTGGAGCTTGTAGTGGTGGTGCAGAGAAAACCCTCCTCACAGTTCCAAGAGAGAAAAGACTGCTTGTGGCCAGTCACTCGAAGACCAGAGCTCAGGCCAGGAAAAGAGTAAACACCTCAACCCTTATCATACCACCTTGGAAGAACTGAAAATTTACAGGTCCCTACAAGTATCTCTGAAAACAGCTATACAAACCCCCGAAGCTTGGGACAGTGCATTCTCCACATTGGAAGCAGATGTTTACCTTAACAAAGATTTTAAAACTCAAGTAGTTGTCTGGGATCATGAGCAAACCTCACAAAAAGAGCCAGACTATGTTATCTTACTTTGGTGACAAAGAAGATCAAAACATACAACCAGAAGAAGACAACAAAGTCAAAGCTCCCACATCCAAAGCCTCCAAGAAAAATATGAATCCATCCCAGGCCTTGGAAGAGCTCAAAAGGGATTTGAGAAGCAAGTAAGAGAAGTAGAGGAAAAACTGGGAAGAGAAATGAAAGTGATGCAAGAAAATCATGAAAAACAAGTCAACAGCTTGCTAAAGGAGACCCAAAAATATACTGAAGAAAAATAACACCTTAAAAAATAGCCTAACCCAAATGGCAAAAAGGTCCAAAAAGCCAATGAGGAGAAGAATGCCCTAAAAAGCAAAATTGGCCAAATGGAAAAGGAAGTCCAAAAATTACTGAAGAAAATACTTCCTTAAAAATTAAATAGAGCAATTGGAAGATAGTGACTTTATGAGAAATCAGACACATTAGAACAAATCCAAAAGAATGAAAAATTAAAACAATGTGAAATATCTCATTGGAAAAACAACTGACCTGGAAAATAGATCCAGGAGAGAGAATTTAAAAATTATTGGACTATCTGAAAGCCATGATCAAAAAAAGAGCCTAGACATCATCTTTCAAGAAATTATCAAGGAAAACTGCCCTGATATTTTAGAACCAGAGGGCAAAATAGAAATTGAAAGAAACCACTGATCTCCCCCTAAAAGAGATCCCCAAAGGAAAACTCCTAGGAATATTGTAGCCAAATTCCAGAGTTCCCAGGTCAAGGAGAAAATATTGCAAGCAGCCAGAAAGAAACAATTCAAGTATGGTGGAAACACAATCAGGATAACACAAGATTTAGCAGCTTCTGCATCAAGGACCAGAGGGCATGGAATATCTTATTCCTGAGGGCAAAGGAGATAGGATTACAACCAAGAATCACCTACCCAGCAAAACTGAGTATAATCCTTCAGGGAAAAAAATGGTCATTCAGTGAAATAGAGGACTTTCAAGCATTCTTGATGAAAAGACCAGAGCTGAATAGAAAATTTGACTTTCAAATACAAGACTCAAGTGGAACATGAAGAGTAAACAGGAAGAGAAATCATAAGAGACTTATTAAGGCTGAACTGTTTACATTTCTGCATGGAAAGATGATATTTATAACTCATGAGACCTTTGTCAGTATTAGGGTAATTGGAAGGAAAAAAATATATGTATGTATGGATAGATAGATAGATAGATAGATAGATAGATAGATAGATAGATAGATAGATAGGTGGCACGGGATGAGTTGAAGATGAAGGGGTGATATCTGGAGAATAAAATTAAGGGGTGAGAGAGGATTATACTAAGAGAAGGAGAAAGGGAGAGGTAAAATGGGGTACATTGTCTTGCGCAAAACAGACAAGAAAATGTTCTTACAGTGGAGGGGAAACAGGGGAAGGTGAGAGGAAATGAGGGAATCTTATTCTCATAGGATTTGGCTTAAGGAGGGAATAACATACACACTCAATTGGGTATGGAAATCTGTCTTACCCTACAGGAAAATAGGGGAGGAAGGGGACAAGAGAGCAGGGGGATGATAGAGAGAAGGGCAGATTGGGAAAGGGGTAATCAGAAGGAAGTACTTCTGAGGAGGGACAGGGTCAAAAGAAAGAATAGAATAAATGGGGGGGACAGGATAGGATTAAGGGAAATAGAGTTAGTTTTTCACAACATGTCTACTATGGTAGCGTTTTGCATAACTGCACATGTATGGCCTGTATTGACTTGCTTGCCTTTTCAATGAGGGGGGGGGTGGGAGGAAGGGAGAAAATTTGGAACCCAAAGTTTTAAAAACACATGTTTTAAAAAAAAATGTTTCCACATGGGAATGGGAATAAGAAATACCGGAAATGAGGTACAGAAATCTATCCTGCCCTACAAGAAAATAGAAAGGGAAGGGGATAAGAGAAGGGGGGGAGAGATAGAAGGGAGGGCAGACTAGGGGAAGGGGTATTCAGAATGCATGCCATCTTGGGGTGGGGGAGGGCAAGATGGGGTGAAAATTTGGAATTCAAAATCTTGTGGAAGTAAATGTTGAAAATTAAAATTAATAAATTTATATTAAAAAAAATTCAAGTACCCTTGGGGACTCAGCAATGGAAAGAAGTGATAGTGATCATCCCCAAACAGTCACTGTCTGAGGGGCTATCCTATCCAGTCAGTCAATAAACATAAGCACTGACTATGTGTCAGACACTGTGCTAAGTGTTAGAGATACAAAAAGAGGCAGAATAGTCTCTGCCCTGAAGGAGCATCTGATGTCAAGGAGCTCACAACCTAATGAGATCCAATGAGATCCAGATCCAACCAGGAATCTGAAAGGGGTAAGATGGTCAGGAAGATAAAATTAACAGGAGTGGTGGATAGACTGGAGTGGTGAAAGATGTGTCGGGGAGACCAACCATCAGACTATCACAGTAGTCCAGGCATGATGTGATGAAGGTCTGAACCATGATAGTGGCAGTGTTAGAGGAGAAAAGGAAATACATACAAGATGTTACAAGGGTAAAATCAATAGGACTTAACAACAGATTGAATATGGGGGAAGGAGCATCAAGAGAGAAAATGAGGAGTGAAGTATCACACCTAGCCTGTGAGTCTGGAGACTTGGGAAAATGGTGGTGCCCCAGACTTGAAAAGGTGGGTAAACATTTGGGGGAAAACACAATGCATTCAGTTTTGGACATGCTGAGCTTGAGATGTCTATAAGATACCCAGATCAAGATGTCCAATAGGCAGTTAGAGATATAAGACTAGAGGTCAAGGGAGAGGTTAGGGCTGGACAAATAGCTCTGAGAATTATTTGTCTAGAGATGATAATTGAATCCATAGGAGCTGTTGAGATCACCAAGCAAATAATATAGAAAAAGAGGGGCCAAGAGTGAACACTGGGTTTCCCATCATGGGCATAGAGAAGAGTTTTTCTTGGCAAGAAAGTTTCCCTCTTCATGAGACAGGGAGATAGTGGCAGAATGCTTCTGTATGATGTGGAACAAAGAGAAGGGAGAAGAGAGAGCTCTGAGTGAATTGCCTAAATTTAAAAAATGAAATATGAGTTAAGATTCTCAACTGAGAGGATGGGGAAGTAGTGAGAGCTATGAGAGATTTGAGGAGGTATGAAAAGGTTTGGATAAATGATCATGAAGAGTGGAATAGTGGGGGCAAAAGAGGTATAAGGCAAAGGGGGGTTGGTAATAATAAAATAGGATTCCAGCA